TTTATCCATCATAAATAGAAATAAATTGTATTCCTAAGGACTTGGCTTGTATTTTACACTTGATTTTTATAAGAATCGCCCTTGTGATCATCTCCTGATCATTTTTGTTTGTCATTGACCCACATCCAGATTTGATGGGCTGTGAACTACTAGAATTAAGGAGTGTGTTTGGATGAGTCGTGTAGAGTAGACTGAGGCATGAGGAGATGATGTAACACACACACACACACACACACACACACACACACACACATCACCAATTTTCTCCAACCAAAGTAATATTAACATCGGACATCGTAATTATGACTACCCAACTCATAAACACAAACTTCCCAGGATGACTTGAACACACCATAATAGTTGCAAAATGCAACTTCATCGCTAGGCCGTCAACCACCCAGAGCATAGCAACACTGAAAACTTTTCAGAAAGCCATACAAACTACACACAACACCTTAGAAACTGCATATATCCTGGCTTACTGATTGTGTGTTGTGTGATGAACCGTCGTGTGTGTGTGTGAGTGTGTGTTATCGGACTAACTGTGAGTGTGTTTTTGTGCTGTAGGTGCAGGAGCTGCAGAATCCTCCCAGAGCCAGTATGGTGGTTAAGGACTGTGTGAAGGCCTGTCTGGACTCCACCTACAAATACATCTTTGACAACTGCCATGAGCTCTACAACCAACTGCTGGACCAGGTAAGAGCGGAGACTAACCAGCAGGGTTACGAAAGACTCTAAAGATCAGTACGACCACAAACATACTCAAATGCATGAATGCAGACTGTTTCTACAAGGGATGCAATAGCAGGCAAACGGTGTTCTTCTACGGTTAGTTTTCTCTTTCAGGGCAAATACTGTAATGGTGGACCAGTTGTTGATTAAAGTTAAAATGTTCAGGACTCAGTGCGAAGATTAGTGTTGAGGATGTGCTGGCCTGGTTGGACCAGTGGTTCCGTTTTTTTTTTTTTTGCCCTACCAAAATTTTCAATGGCCCTATCACAAAAAAAAATAAAAAAATAATAATATTTACAATTTTGATATGTATATATATATATATATATAATCAATAAAATCAACAGTTGTTGTTTGAAGTTAGTTGAAGTGTTCAAAACTCAATGCTAAGGATGTTTTCTACTGACTTAGTTAGGCCAGCGGTTCAGTTCAGTTTTTCACTGGCCCTGACCCTGTCACTAACTAATTTACTAACTAACTAACTAACTAAATAAGACCTAATTAAGACCTAATGCATGGATCCAATATAATGGTATGTATCCGGTTTCTTTTCCAATTGTTTATGTTCACTTAAGACATTAACAACCATATTTTTGAGCATTTTGATATAATCTTGCCTGCATTTGTCCATTTAGGAGCAAGAAGAAACACAATATAGAGCTCAATTCAGTATTTGCACGCTTGAGATGCAGCTTTCTGTGCATGAATTGAGTTCTCATTCGAAAATACGAAATATTCTTATCGCTTGAATATTTAAATTGTCAAAAGACATGCAACTGATAAACGTTCAGTCTTCCAGTGACAAATGTTTTGTCATGTTTAGCGCCGACCTGAATAATAACAAATGTGGTTTTAACAGCAGAGGCTTGAAGGAAACCCAGTCTGCCTTGAGTATTGAGTTTTGTTAAATATGTACTGGATGGCACGCTTGCAATGCGTTTTCCAAGCAATGACATCTGTGAAAATAGAGTGTGCAGAATGAGAGAAGGGTGTTTCCTTGCTGGAAGAGAGCGACACTCTCTTCTCACCCCGGTTGTAAAGTACATGCAGTGTTATGACACTATTTATTTCTGATGCTGTTGCTGTTGCTGTGTATGTGTGTGTGTGTGTATTGTCGCTTCGATCTGATCTCTCCAGTCAGACATGACAGCAGAATTTCTCATGGTCCATTCACACGACACACACACTAACACAGTGGCTTTCGTGCGTTCACACACAACATGATCTGAAGCGCTGACCCCAGAATCCTCCGTCACAGTGTCACGCTTGCCAAAAGTGTCATAAAACTCGCTAGCTGTGGTGTTTTCCCTCCCTGAAACTGTCAGTATTTCATTGATTTTAAAGGTTTATAGAGGGATAGTTCACAAAAATGAGTCTGTCATCCTTTACTCACCCTCATGCTGTTCCAAACGCGTCTACTTTCCTCTAAAGAAAAGTAGAACACAAAAGGAGATTTTTGGCAGAATGTTCATGCTGCTCTTTACTGCATCTTGACCAGGGCTTGCCAACATCCACCAGCATAGAAAATCACAAAAGTTAATATTATTCATGTGATACAGTATATTCCATGTCTTCTCTTGTATTAAACTTAAATTTTTTTATATTATGCATGTCGTTCTCACCATGCTGCTGACATGGTGTCAAAAAAAAAATAATAATATTTCCAAGCTCATTTAAGCACATTTTTCCTATTACCGTAATGTGTTCAGATATTTTATTTATGTGCTCTGTGACCTGCTGAAAAAGACGATACTATGCGGTGTTATATGTTTATATGCTATTATAGTATTTATTATTATTTATAAATATAGATTTTATTTGTATATTTTCAGATTTCAATTTATTTTAGTTCACGTTTTAGTAATTTTGTTATGTGCTTTTGTCATTTTTATTAGTATTAAATTTTTTTTAATTTAGCTTTAATTTATTTTTATTTCAGTTTTAATTTGAGTAATTTTATACTGTTGTAGTATTCATTAATATTTATTAATATATCTTTTAGTTTTTTATATTTTCATGTTTAAATGTAAGTTTTAGTAATTTTGTTATGTGCATTTGTCTTTATTATTAGTTTTTCATTTTCAATTTATCTTTAATTTTTTATTTATTATTATATTATGTTTGATTTTTATTAATACAGCTTTTTTATATTTTCAGTTTTCATTTTAACTTTAGTTTTTTTTGTAATTTTGCTGTGCTTTTGTCATTTTTATTAGTTTTTCACTTTTTAAACATTTAAATTTAGCTTTAATTTAGTTTTCAGTTTTAGTAATTTTAGTAGTTCAACTTATTTTATTTCAGTTAGTTGGCAAAATATTTAGTTTTTGTTTGTTTTTTCTAGTATTTATATATTTTTTTACTTCAGCTTTATTGGAATTAACAAAAACTATTTTTAATAGTTAGTTTTGATAACATTGATCCTGTCTCACAGAAATCCTCATGTTTCTGTGTTTATACTGTACATTTATTGAGCTCTGCAGAGCAGGACTGTCAGCATCACTTCAGTCTATAAGACAGACGCTCGTCCACAGCCACTGAACCCAAACGTGTAGCTCATATGCGAGCAGACAGCAGTAGCGCCCAAAGAACGTTCATCAGCCCTAAACAACAGTGCAGATTCCCCAAACACAACGCAGCTAAAATTACCAGAGTTTAACTCTCGCTAGTGGAGCAGTTTTATTTTTAGTGGCTTTTGGAGCAGAACTGACCCATCTTCTGTAAATGAGGCAAAGGCCCCATGGAGAGGAAAACAGGGTTTTATTTGGTGCACATGGAATGTTCCTCCTCTGGATGTCTTATATATAAAATATAGCAGCATCAGGTGGGTTGGTATGTTATATAATCATGTCAAAAAGCTCTTAAGACACGTGAGCGGGAAACAACCAAATCCTGTTAGTGTGATGTGAGTGAAGGAGATCCGTGGAAACATGAGGACTGGAAAAGAACAAAGATGCATGGTTGGTGGAAATAAGATGAGACGCAGTGAGACAGAACAACTGGCAGAAAATTTACAGAGATAAAGAGATAAAAAAACGGACAGAAAATACTTCAGTGAATTTCACAAAACCAGTCAAGGACATGTACGGGTCATATTTCATCTTCCAAAAAAAGAATGTATAAATCTCACACACTACTCCAACTTACATCATCGGAAAACGTTATTTGCAAAATGTTTTATTTTGTGTGTGTTGTAAGTGTTTTAAGGAAGGACGATTGACCGAAATGTTGCAAATAAAATTTTGTTTTTAGTTTGTGTAGTGTGCAGGATTAATACCGATTAAAAATTAGTATGGATTCATAATTTGGGTGTGTGAGTCACTATATTTTCAGTTTGAACTTCCACAAAAAAGGGAAAAAAAATAATTTGATTTTGCATAAAGAAATTAATCCTATTTGATTATTTTCATGGCATAAGTATCAAATTAAATTCATAATTATAGTAATATATAATAATTAATTATTAAATAATGTTATAATTATGACTTTTAATAATTATATATTATTTAGTCCTATTTTTGTACTACTTTCATGCTGATTTATGTAAAAAGACATTATATTTTCTTTTTGACTTTCCAACAAAAAAGGGCAACCCAGTCTCATAAAAATACGTACCTCTGGGTACTTTTCTGCAACACCGTTTTTACGTACCTTACTGCACGTTTCGCCGCACTTTCAAAGAGAAATGTCCACTGAGTGGCGCTAAAACACGGGTTCAATACGTCATCCCTGGCACGTTTTTATTACGTTGATATAGGTATGTATTGCTGCATTTTTATTACGTTTCTTCTGGTACGTATTGCGGCGATTCAGAATTCAAATATCCGGGGACTGTCGCTAAAAGTTAATCGTCTATCGTGTTGGAAATATGCCCTACACCAAACCCAACCCTAAACCTACCCCATAGTGTTAACAAATGCAAAACTGATATAAACACGCATTTGTTGATGCAACCGTGCCATTTGAACTTCCTTATATGCAGATTTGAACTGTTTTGTCGAACCGTAGTTACACGGCAGGGGTGTCCAAACTCGGTGTATCAGCCCTAAACAACAGTGCAGATTCCCCAAACACAACGCAGCTAAAATTACCAGAGTTTAACTCTCGCTAGTGGAGCAGTTTTATTTTTAGTGGCTTTTGGAGCAGAACTGACCCATCTTCTTCTGTAAACGAGGCAAAGGCCCCATGGAGAGGAAAACAGGGTTTTATTTGGTGCACATGGAATGTTCCTCCTCTGGATGTCTTATATATAAAATATAGCAGCATCAGGTGGGTTGGTATGTTATATAATCATGTCAAAAAGCTCTTAAGACACGTGAGCGGGAAACAACCAAATCCTGTTAGTGTGATGTGAGTGAAGGAGATCCGTGGAAACATGAGGACTGGAAAAGAACAAAGATGCATGGTTGGTGGAAATAAGATGAGACGCAGTGAGACAGAACAACTGGCAGAAAATTTACAGAGATAAAGAGATAAAAAAACGGACAGAAAATACTTCAGTGAATTTCACAAAACCAGTCAAGGACATGTACGGGTCATATTTCATCTTCCAAAAAAAGAATGTATAAATCTCACACACTACTCCAACTTACATCATCGGAAAACGTTATTTGCAAAATGTTTTATTTTGTGTGTGTTGTAAGTGTTTTAAGGAAGGACGATTGACCGAAATGTTGCAAATAAAATTTTGTTTTTAGTTTGTGTAGTGTGCAGGATTAATACCGATTAAAAATTAGTATGGATTCATAATTTGGGTGTGTGAGTCACTATATTTTCAGTTTGAACTTCCACAAAAAAGGGAAAAAAAATAATTTGATTTTGCATAAAGAAATTAATCCTATTTGATTATTTTCATGGCATAAGTATCAAATTAAATTCATAATTATAGTAATATATAATAATTAATTATTAAATAATGTTATAATTATGACTTTTAATAATTATATATTATTTAGTCCTATTTTTGTACTACTTTCATGCTGATTTATGTAAAAAGACATTATATTTTCTTTTTGACTTTCCAACAAAAAAGGGCAACCCAGTCTCATAAAAATACGTACCTCTGGGTACTTTTCTGCAACACCGTTTTTACGTACCTTACTGCACGTTTCGCCGCACTTTCAAAGAGAAATGTCCACTGAGTGGCGCTAAAACACGGGTTCAATACGTCATCCCTGGCACGTTTTTATTACGTTGATATAGGTATGTATTGCTGCATTTTTATTACGTTTCTTCTGGTACGTATTGCGGCGATTCAGAATTCAAATATCCGGGGACTGTCGCTAAAAGTTAATCGTCTATCGTGTTGGAAATATGCCCTACACCAAACCCAACCCTAAACCTACCCCATAGTGTTAACAAATGCAAAACTGATATAAACACGCATTTGTTGATGCAACCGTGCCTTTTGAACTTCCTTATATGCAGATTTGAACTGTTTTGTCGAACCGTAGTTACACGGCAGGGGTGTCCAAACTCGGTGTTGTTTAGCTCCAACTTGCCTCAACACACCTGGCTGCCAGTTTCTAGTATGCCTAAGACCTTGATTAGCTGGTGCAGGTGTGTTTAATTCGGGTTGAAGCTAAACTCTGCAGGACAGTGGCCCTCCAAGTCCGAGTTTGGACACCCCCGTTACACGGG